AAAAGCTAATGTCATTATGATTCCTGTTCTGAATAACCAACACTGGATTTTGTTGGTTGTTGATTTGGGTGAGGGGAAGTAGAAAATGTATGATTCATTACCCAACCAGATGCACAAAGTCGTGTGCAACGACGTTGTAAGTTACTCCCAATCGTTAAAGCTATTATTTCTGCAATTTTCACCAGTTTTTTCCATTCACTGATCATTAATTAACTGTGTAGATCAAACATTTTGCCCATGATGTTGAAGGTTCTTTTAAGGCTAAACCCGGGAAATGGAAAGTTTCGCTGGTTAGAGGTGTTCCCGTACAAACCAACAGTGTTGATTATGGGATGTTTGTCTATAAATTTATGCAAAAATTAGTACAAAGCTATAGACATTATTGAAGTGAAGATATGGGATGACAAGCAGAAATGCCAAAATTTAGGGCAGAGCTTGCCCAAGATATTTATTTGTGGGTACAACACCGTAATCAGTAGACTTATTTCATTGTTAATATATGTTTTATTTTCAATATTTGTAATATTTGTTTGGGATGACAGGCAGAAATGCGATAATATTTAATTGCAATATTTGTTTGTGTTATAGTCGTATTCTTGTATTATTGTGGTAATATTATGGTATTATTTAAATTATAGTGATAATGTTATAATTGTGGTTGTATTTTTGTATTGTTTTGGTAATATCGATGTATTACAAAGGTAACTTAATAGTATTTTGTGGAAAATATTTTAATCAAACAACAATATTTTGGTTGTATTGCGGTAATACTTCAGTTGTATATATAGTTCGGTAATCAAACCACAATATTTTGGTTGTATTGCAGTAATACTTCGAGAATATTTTGGTAATACTCGGAACAAACCAGATACGACCGCGGAGTGTGAGTACAACAAAGGAATATTCCAATCAAACCGATATATATTCCTCCGTCAGCCAAGATATTTTGGTTGTATATATTTTGGTTGTATTGCTGTAATACTTCGGGAATATTTTGGTAATACTCGGAACAAGCTAGATACGACCGCGGCCAGATACGACCGCGGAATGGTGAATACAACAAAGGAATATTCCAATCAAACCAAGATATATTCCTCCGCGAGCACTGATATATATTTTGATTGTATTGTGGTAATACTTCGGGAATATTTTGATAATATTCAACACAAACTAAAGAAAAAGTTAAGAAAAATTCTCAAAATATTTAAAATCCCACGGATCCTATTCAAATGTTATTTAATTATTGGTAGATGTTATATAATAGTCGTGTTAGAAATATATCCTCGGAACAAGCGAGATACGACCGCGGAGTGGTGAACATACCAAAAGAATATTCCAATCAAACCAAGATATATTCCTCCGCCAGCGTTAGAATATATTTTGGTTGTATTGCGGTAAAACTTCAGGAATATTTTGGTAATATTCAAGACAAACTAAAAAAAAATTAAGAAAAATTCTCAAAATATTTGAAATCCCACGGATCTTATTCAAATGTTATTTAATCATTGATAGATTTTATATAGTAGTCGTGTTACATATATATCCTCAGAACAAAGCAGATACGACCGCAGAGTGGTGAATATACCAAAAGAATATTTCAATCAAACCAAGATATATTCCTCCGCCAGCGCTGGAATATATTTTGATTGTATTGCGGTAATACTCCAAGAATATTTTGGTAATATTCAACACAAACTAAAGAAAAAAATTAAGAAAAATTCTCAAAATATTTGAAATCCCACGGATCTTATTCAAATGTTATTTAATCATTGGTAGATGTTATATAGTAGTCATGTTACATATATATCCTCGGAACAAACCAGATACAACCGCGGAGTGGTGAATACAAGAAATGAATATTCTAATCAAACCAAGATATATTCCTACGCTAGCGCTGTATTTTGGTTGTATTGCGGTAATACTCCGGGAATATTTTAGTAATATTCAACACAAACTTAATTCTACAATTACAAAAGATATTATACTATGCAAAAATACATTAATTCTACAATTACAAACAATATATCGTTTCAATTACTTGATATTTCACACGCCATCATCTAGGTCCATCAATAAGCTCGTGTTTGTGTCTGTGGGCAGTGATGCAGACAATTCCTGATTTCAAACAATCACATATCAATATAAATACATATGTCAATTCGGAATTAGATCGCACAGCATAAAAAGTTTCGAACTTTAAGTTATGTACCTGACTATACTGATCCGACATTGAAAATTGGTTTGGGTTTGATGGGTGAAATGTTTCTTGACTTGAATCAACATCTTTATCATTTCCTGTTAAACAATGTGTCATGTTAGTAAGTTGTAACGCAGTGTACATCCAAAATAATAGAAGAATGTAACCTAACTAACACTATATTGATTTTTCAATCTTACTTTTTGATCGGTTATTCTTCTCCCAAAAGCCTTTTAACCCAGCATTATAAACGCCTTTTGGCCGCATCTTTGTTGGGTCCTTCAAATTGTGTAGTTTATTCGGTGTCTTTTTCTTCTTTGACATTGGCATTTCCTGATGGTCTCTCCCATTCAATATGGCTTCAGATTCGAGTGTTAGTTTCTTTAATGTTTACAGCACATTTTTTTCAGCAAGTTCATTACCTTGAGTTAATATGCTAATTCGGTATGCAAATTTATGAACGTGTGTTCGATATATGAGTCCACTCGAACAAGTTGCAGAAGTTTGCAAATCATTCAAATGTTTATAACCATAATTGTTATATATATATCCCTCTTTGCATGAACCGACCACCGCACTAAAATATATTTTTCAGGGATCTTTTTTATATTCTCATGGTTAAACACTCTTAGAGTGTGAGCACATAATATACCTATCATTTTAAATTTTTACAACTGCATGTAATTTCAGAACTACCTTTATCGACCTTAACAATTTACGGTCTGACTGTGTGCTCATTATCTAAGTTTCTAACATAAAATTCTAAATCTGCGGTGGCTGAGCACTTCACAGCAAGTCCACACAAATCATGTAACAACTCTACTTCAAATATTTAATATAACTTCATCCTATAAACTAAAGCACTTTGCCTCAACACAGGACTATTTTTTACAGCGGGGACAATTGCATACTGTTCAGATTTAAAATCTTTATCCTTCTCATTCCTTCTCCAAGCTTTCATGACATTTTCAAGACCCAAGAAACTCTCAGTGCGGGTGCTTGTTGCTTAGAGGCATTATGACAAATGTTATTCGTCGACTCACTTCTTTGTGTTGAAAAGATTCCCATTTCAAATATTTCCTTATTGAAAGCTGTTGACCACTTATGTCTGATATTATATAAACTATTCAACCAAGCATTCTCATATAGATTTCCTAACCCAATCATTATATGTCAAGTTTCTTCAAACTCCTCCTCGGAGTTACACCTAGCCATGCATTTATAAAAAAACTTATTGAATTTCTTGGTGCTTACACCACAAATGTAGTTTTGAAGACAATTTCTTGTAAATATGTCATTGGCATAATCTATGTCTTATGTGCGAAAGACACTCTTAAATGGCTCTGGCCTTTGCTTGATCCTGATCAGTGAATATTGTCATCGGGTGTTTGTTGTCCATAATCCGGATAAATGATTTGAATAGTCACTTGAATGATTCAACTGTTTCATCTGACAAAAAGTTAACTCCAAATAGAACGTTCTGCCAGTGGTAGTTCACACCGACAATAGGAGCAGAACATAAATTGTATTTATTTAATTTATAACTTGTGTCAAATATTATGACATCCCCAAAGCAATCGTAATCAAGTTTGGATATCCCATCACTTCAAAAGAAATTCAATAAACTACCAGACTTATCAATTTGGACGTCCCATGCAAACAATATATCATTTGGAAGTCATTAATAGCACCACCCTGAACAAAGATATTATATTACCTACAGAATGCTTCCGGTCGCAGCTAATAATCCAAGCTGCTTAGCATCATTCTCGCAATCGCTTTGAAATTTCATCAACATTTCTTGATTGACAGAGAAATCCATTTAACAGACCCTGCCCTAGCTCTCGAATACGAATAGAGACGAAAAAATAAAAAAAATCTATATTCATAAACCGGAAAAAAGCACCAATATTCTTTTTTTCTATTTGGCGAGATTCGATAGATCCAAATATATGTTTTTCCGATTATTGGGCGGGGCTCAAACCGGGTCACGCCTTCAATTTATTATTCTGCTTATTTATCTTCACTGAGGGCCCACCGTTACACGCGTACCCTTTTCATTCGCTACCGCATGTAGAGCACATGCGGTCGTTGGACAGAATAATTTTCCCTTTTAGTGGGGGATGTACATGTTTTTATTGGTATTTTAGCAAGCGCATATAAAAAATTTCATATAACTAAAGACTGATAAGGAAAAAAAAGGACTGAAATAAAGAAAATATTCATGAGATACGCTTTAAATTAAATATCAACCCAAACCAACCGTACAGATAAAAATTGATTTCCTCCCATATTAAAGATTTACATCCCAAAGCTTTAATAAATTCATCAGAATAATGCTGCACTATAATTCCGGATTTTTTGTTCGTACGTGAATAACGAAATTTACTGTTTCCCTTTCTTACGTGGACAAAACCTTATTTATTAGCTCAGGATTTTAGGAGTCACAAAACAAAGCCAAAATTGAAGAGAATTTGAAAAAGAAACGTTTTGTACTGCTCAAATTAAAACTTTGAAAAAAAATACAAAGAGAGCGGGAAATATTTTTAACCCAATTGCTAAATATTTAACTACAATAATGCGCTAATATTTGTGATAAATATCGATTAATAAAATGATTAATGTTCCAGCCAAGAATGTAGGCTCTGTTAAGAAAAATCTATAAAGATATTAAATAAGTACTCATAGACCACAAAAGTAGATATATAAAGTAAATCTTCTTTTTTTTTTCCTTTCAATTTATCTCAAGTCATTTCTTGTTGAGGGAGATATATTAAAGTATGTAAAGAATAATAAGTTTCACCTGAATTCGAGACTGGAGTTGTAATTTGCGAGAACGACGAGCATTGGAATGGAGTCTTACGACACGTCGGCCACTCTGGCTCACCAACTCTGCTCTCTTCCGAACGAGATAACCGCGAACGAGAGCCTGCAGTTTTACCAGAGCTTTCATGGCCCGAAGAGCTTTCCTCGCCTACAATGCATTTCAAACCAGAGGAAAAGAATTGCATTAAGAAAAGGAAAAAACAGAAAGTTAAGACATTTGAAATAACTAATTATTGAGAATCACCAAATATCCTCTAAAAAAAGTTTGGATTGTGATGGCGGCCCAACGCTCGTGGCTGCCGGAAAACATGGTCCCTCTGCCGTGGCTCGTGAGGCGGACCACCACGACAG